CATTTACATCATCTTAGCAAAAAGACGCAACATCATGAATGAACTTCAAAGCTTGCTTTTGAATGTGCGCGAGCCAGGTGACCGCAGAAAAATATTTAACAGTCTGTATGTACAGTAAGGGGGGCTAACTCGTGAAATGTCAACTGAAATTCCGAAATGCGTTTTCGTTTTGAAACGATTAATTAAGTAGGGTTGTAAAAGTAGTCTGCCTGCAAAAAAGTCCCAACCGGCTTTCGAATGAACTTCCTTACAGCTGCATACAAAAAGTACACTCTGTGAAAAATGACCAATTAAGTAGCATGAATTTTTCTCATTCATTTTCGGCGCCCCTGAAATTCTAAGTATATTTTATGCAAAAAATGCATAAACATATCCTTTTGCTCATTCGGTAGATAATTACGCTTTCTTCCAATCTTATACTTGAAGGAAAGGTACAATTTGGTTTTCAAAAACTTTTTCAATTCCCGAATAATTTTGAACTGGCTTTACCGACACACTTGGATGCAGGGTTTGGAAACTACAAGCCGTATACTTTCCGCGTACGGAAGGCCACGCATTTTTTTACGATAATAAAGGGGGCCACATAATCTTTTTAAAATTCAGCAGTGGATTTGACCAAAATTTTTAGCTTTACAAGCCGCATTGGTAAAAGCAGTGACATGACGATTTATAAACGGCCATTTCACGGTATTTAAAAGTTCCACAATTAGAAACTTTTGTTAAACAAAATTATGTCCCTCTTTCGAGTATAAAATTAGAAGCAGTTGTAAATATCTACCAAATGGACAAAAGAATGAATATTTGTATGCATTTTTCAATGAAATATAATTGGGCATTCAGCGGCATCGAAAATCAGTAAGAAAAAATTCCTGCTATATCAGTAGTCATTTTTTACACAATGCAGTTTCTGCATGCAGCCGGAATGAAGTTTATTCGAAAGCCGGCATCCTGAGGTACCTGAAATATTATACAATTATGTTGCAGGCTGACTAGTTTTACAACCCTACTTAATTAGCCTTTTCGAAAGGAAAACGCATTTCGGAATTTCGGTTGACATTTCCTGAGTTAGTCTACTTACTGTACATAAGCTTCACAAGTCTCTCTGAAATGTAGGCCTCTGTCCATCTGTGTCTTACACGAAAACCGCGGCATTGATATCATCTGAACTGAAGAACTTGGCTTCACGAAAGCCCGCACAACAACGATGATTCAGCCTTCTTGCAGCTAGCACACCGCTCGCTCTTCAATTTATTCACATAATTTGCAAAGTGCGCCTACGTCGCCCGGCTTGTGGAATGGGCTACATCGTAACAACGAGAGGACTTACTGCAGCACACGCTGAATGCCCTTCCCGCCACCCGGGTTTTTGCAGTTAATAAACTGTTCACTCTATCTATTCAATAAAGGGTCACAATGAGACGTTTTTTTGAAGACAAATCCTTTAGGACAAAGTGATTCCATATCAACAGCACAGGTACTAGCCAAAAGTCCATACGCGCTTGGTTTGCCGATATTCTGTCGCTGCACGACAAATGCTTTCTGAATCTTCAGTCATTTACAGTAGATGTGCTAACTCATCAAATTTTAAGCGAAATTCTGAAATGCATTTTTGACCTGAAAAAAAAATACTAATGTGGGTTTGATATATTAACCACCGTGCCACATAATCCCATGATAATTCAGTTACTTCAGGATGCGGACTTTCGAACGAACTTCTTTCCGACCGCCTGCAGAAACCGCACTCTGTAAAAAAGGTTACTACCTATGTAATATGGCTTTTTTCATTTATTTACGGTGCCCTTAGAAATTCAAATATATCTCAGACCGTATCCATAAAAATGTTGATTTTTTTACTGATTTCGTAGAAATTATGTCTTCTTCAAATTTTATACTTGAAGGGAAAGCATAATCCGGTTTCAAAAGCTTGTAATTATGAGGCTTGTAATTATAAGACCATGAAATGCCTGTCCGTAAGACCTCGTGTATCTGCATTTACCAATGTTGCTTGTATAGTTTACAACATAGCTTATCGTAGCAGGCTAGGCCGTTGGTGAAAGCCCATGCTACCACGACCTTTGGGACCTGTCCAGAATGGAAGGAGAAGGCGGGCGCCAGTTGGAAGGATTGTTTATCCTGTGCAGAATAACAGGAAGAGGGGTTGGAGAGAGAGAGTTAGAAGCCGGACAATAGCACGTCCGGTGCCGCGAAAGCGCCGTCCCAGGTGCCCAGCAGGCGGCGCGTCAAAGCGTCTCAAGCGTGCGCACGTCTGGCACGACCTTGAATCTGATTGGTCAGCTGGATAGCCACGTTGGCGAATGCCAGACAGCCCTGGTGCGCACGTGCAGACACTCGCGAGAGGCCCAGCGTTGCGACAGGCGTTTGGAGTAGGGCCACTACAGGCTCAAACCTACTGCTAAATTCTATGAATTTCATATGGTCTCCGTTCACGAGAACAACTTGTGGCTCGGAAACCCTGGCCACAGATTTAACGGCAGGTCAGGTTCAAAATTATTAGGGAATTGAAAAAATTCCTTAAAACCGGATTATCCCCTTCCTTCATGTATAAAATTTGAAGAAGTCGTACTTTTCTACCAAATGAGTAAAATAATGACTGACTATTCAACTCGGACCACGTACACAGACGCGTTGGGAGTAGGGCCACTACAGACTTAGACCTACTACTGTCTACTTCAGGAGGAAGGACTGGAAAAGAGTTCATAAGGCATCTCTTGACGGCCATGCTGGGACCTTCTCCGTGTCTTAATTTATGCGGAAAAACGGTCTTTTGTAGGCAGTACCCACTTCACCATTCTCAATGGTCTGCTTATTACCTTTTTTCACACCTGTAGATCCCGTACGACATATTGGGCAGTATAGAGAGTGCCATGCAGAAATAATCCGACAAACAGCGACTGAATGAATTAACGTGGATCGCGATTTATATTACAACGATGAACACTGAATGAACAATACGATCTCTGTAGACAACATACTCTCTGTGCATACTCCTTTACCCCCTTTTTAATTTACGTGTTATACAATGAACTACCACATGAACCTACTTGCTGATCATAATTTTTTCCTATATAAATGCGGGACTTGTAAGTGCAGAGTATTTCTGCTGAAATTCTGCCTACGTCTCCCTTGTCTTTATCGGTAATGCCATTCTGACTATATCATGCGTCGCTGTGCGGCTGCTGGTTGGGCTCGAGAGAGAGCCCATAAGGCACAACGGAACGAGTGAGTCTTATAAGAACGATCGGTGAGCTTCCCTCTACCACTCCACTGACAGTGCTGGACGCGGCTGTGTTGCATTCAGTAAATCTTAGTGACCAGGATATTCCACGTTCCTATGTGGAATGGTACCACCTATTGTACGGGGGATTCCGGAAGATGAAAAACCGATATCGTAAACGGGGAGGGGAGTTATCTTGCGGAGAGACTGGTGTACTGTGTGTCATAATTGATATTCCCCATCAAAACCGACAGGACAACGGGTCCGTGGCTCAATGGTTGAGTGTCAAACTCCATGACGAAATATTCCGAGTTCGAACCTCAAGTTATAAGCCAGAAATGGCCACTCCGGTCTCCCTTGTCTTTGTCGGCACCATCTCATCTAGTCGCTGTGCGACTGCCTGCGAGGGTTCTAGTATGTGCCCCATGGCACAACGGAACGAGGACGTTCCGCAACCTGATCGGTCAGCGTCCATCTGTCATGAATGGCGTCCCTAGACCCGTCATAGTCCCGTGCATAGTCCCGCCCAATTGAGGCATAATCCCTTCGGGTCCCGGAGAGTTGACGGGTCCAGACAGGGCTGGTGCTATTAGGGTATATAATATATTTGAATTTATAAGGTCATCGAAAATCAATAGGAAAAAATTCCTGCTAAACAAGTAGTCATTTTTTACAGAGTGTAGTTTTTACAGGCGCCGGAAAGAATTTCCTTCGAAAGTCGGCATCCTGTAGTAACCAAATTATCATGGGATTATCTTCTGCGGTGATTAATTTTACAACCATACTTAAGTAATCTTTCACCGCTGAAAACACATTTCTGAATTTCGGTTAACGCTTCATGAGTTAGCACACCTACAGTTAGTCGCCTTTGCAGAAGGACGTAGCTTTACGAAGCTCCGCACATCCGTGATGATTAATCCTTCTTGCAGAAAGCCCACAGCTCGCTCTTCCATTTATTCACATAATTTTAAAAGGCGCACACGATGCCCGGCTTGTGGAATGGGCGTCATCGTAACAACGAGAGGACTTACTGCAGCACACGCTGAATGCCCTTCCCGCTACTCGGGTTTTCGCAGTCAATAAACTCTCCACTTTGCTTTTGAATGTGAGGGGCTACGTTAAGACCATTTTTGAAGAAAAATGTCTTCTGATTCTGCAATCCGCGTGGTCATCATTTCCTGGGCGCGAAATTCGAATTCCGATTCGCGCGAGGGACATTTCCCAATGAATTCTCTCCACGGATAACGGCTGCCTTCCACAAAAAATTGAACTGCAAAATACCACATTGGCTTCCATCCTCTGCTTTGTTCAAAATGCTTTCTCAAGCTATTTACTGTCGCTCTGAGTTAAATCTGCAAAAGGCAGAGCCATTGTTTTTTTAACTCTGTTTGCCGAGCTGATTAAAGTCCAATCTTTATCAATTTACTGATACAGGTGAAAACGTCCAACAGACCCTCCGCGGCCACTTGAACGCACCTCCCCCCTGCAACCACAGCCTAAGCCACTGGGACACCATCCCTCGGCAAATGCAACACACACTGACTGGACACCACGTGAGTTTGGCCCATGAGCCTACAAAAGCGGCTGCCACCACCACTGTCCCATGGACTCTCCGGCATGACCAGAGGCAGTCAACACCAGCAGTGGCTTCGCCGGTAACCACTGCCGCCTGAGAGGGCATCTCCGGATTCTGTGCACAATAAAGCCCTCACTCTGGTGATATCTGCCTCGGGATTTGACCGCCTGATTGTAACGCGCTGATTACACACTGCACTGGTTAGAGGCCAAAAAGTCCACCAGACTATGCACTGACCCTATTGAATACGGTACATAACATATAAATGTTAAATGTACATCTTACTAAAATTGTGTCATTAACATATTTGTTCACGGAAAACTTTTTCACAATACGGGACTGCGAAGGGTGCGGCAGGCGGTGTTCTCAGTGTACATATGAAATTTTAAGTGTAGTTATATACAATCAGCATCAAGTGCAGTCATTTACATAGTTTGAGGGGAGACATTTCATTAAAAGTCAGGGATGTGTTTAGAAGGGATGATATCTATAAATGAAATTTATGGCTGGCCGCAGATAATCCTGTTGTGAAAGTCGTCGTTTTTCAAAGATCAAACGATCCAGCTGCCTTTTGAATACAGCGATTGTATCAGATGTCACTATTCCACTTTGGAGTGAGTTTCATGGTCGAACAACACGCTGGCTGAAGGAAAACTTCCGATTGTCTAGGCGTGTACGCTCCCGCTTGACTTTGTACGGGTGACCGCGCACGTGACTCGTGGTCGTGAATTTAAATAAGTCGTCAGTTTTCAGCGAACATTCATGCCCGTGGATAATGCAGAATGTCCATAACAGGTCACACCTCATTCGTCTATAGGATAGGGCAAACAAATTTAACTGGATCAGTCTTTCAGGGTATGACAGAGTCCTGAGACCGTTCACCAGTTTTGTGGTCCGTGGTTGCACCTGCTCTATGGCATCACTGTCTTTCTTCATCCACATCCAGGGCATCCATAATGGCATTCCGTATTCCAAGTGCGGTCTAAATAACGTGCCGAATATCTGTGAGAAGAGTTCGGGAGGAAAGATTCTGAAGGCACGCCTAATCCAGTGCATGATGCTGGTTGCCTTTTGGACGACTCTTTTGCAGTGCTGAGAGGGCAGCAAGTTTGAGCATGTCCAGACACCTAGGTCTTTGTGCGTGTCCACTTCTTTTAGTGGAACCCCATTTATGGTGTACTGATGTTTTGGGAAGCGCCCCCGTCCAGATTCTAGTCGCAAGACTACACACTTGGATACGTTAAACGCTAGAACTAATAGGACGGTAATTTTCGGGCTCCAGTCTGCATCCTCCTTTATAGATTGGAGAAATATGGGCCGTTTTCCACTCCTCCGGCAGTTCGCCTTCGTCCATGGACTTTCGAAATATCATGGACACCGGCTAACAGAGTACATCAGCTAATTCTCGGAGGACAAGTGGATGAATTCCATCTGGACCAGGTGATTTGGCAGGTTTCAGCCGGCGTAGTTCGGTCCTTATCAACGTGGGTGAGAAGAAAAGATTGTCTTCCAATGCAGGACGGTCTACATAAGGCATGGCAGGAGGGTTTGTGTCATGAGTGAATACCGACTGAGAGAAATTGGAGAAGGCTGATGCTTTCAGATGGTCATCTGTCTCAGTTACACCGTTTTGGGATCTTAGCGCTGGAATCAGTTCACGATTGCTCTGTCCATTACGTATGCAACTATAGAGGATTTTAGGATACTACAAGGAATTTGTAATAAGCGCAGCTCATAGTTGCCTTGAAGTCTATGAGCCTCGCGTTTACACGAATTCCGCTGTCGCATGTATTCCTTCAGATCTTCAGAACTGTCTGTTTGTCGATAGCGTCTCCACACTTTATTTCTCCTCCTAAACGCGGTTTAAGACGGACGTTTGGTTGTTTTCTTTCGTCTAAGTGGACAGTTTATGTCAACGATTTTTTTGACCAGTGGGCTGAACGTGCTCCATTAGTCATTAACTGTTCCCTGCAATGTTGTTGTCCACGGTATTGCTGAGACTTGCGTCCGCATGCTAGGAAAATCCCCCTTCCGGATATTTGTTTGTAATTGTTCAGGTGAATTAGGCTGGAAGAACAGGGAATACTCGAAGAGCATCACAATATGATCACTAGCACCAATTGGCGGGAGATCTTGTATATCCAGCACACTCTCCTCATCTCAAGTGAGCACCAGGTCGAGGCAGTTTGAACGTTGCCCTTCCCTTACACGTGTCCTGAGAGTTAAATTCTGAACAATTCAAGCAAATATTGTCCGAATGTGTTCGATGGACCCGAAACCGCCCAAGCTTGCCAGTCGATATTGGGGGTGTTAAAGTGCCCGACAAAAAGGACGTCTCTGTTCGAGCAGGTCTTGTTCAGTTCCCTTAGGAGAAGGCTATCGTGTTCGGAAATCTGCAAACGCCAGCGGCCTGGCGTATTTAGTGGAGATAGTTAAAGATAAGAATTCCACTTCCGCTGTTGTTGTTGGATTATGCTCAGGGACCGCGGTTAGGTTGTAGCTAACAGAACAGCGACCCCTCCTCCTCGGCTTTTTCTGTCTCTTCTGAACAGTTGGTAGCCTTTGAGGGATACCTCATGATCTCCAACAGCTTCTGAAAGCCATGTTTCTGTCAAAGCGATGATATCTGGTGTGTGCTCGTTGATCAGAGTCCTGAGTTCATACATCTTGTTAAGCAGGCTCTGCGCATTCGAAGAGGGCACCTTTAGTGTCCGTCTTCTTGGGGGAAACTGGCCCTGATTACAAAGGGGGTTAGCCACAGGAACGATCGCTTGATCTGTATTAGCTTGCCTTCCTTTATTTTCAACCCCTTTTCCCACTCTTCTGTCCTTCTTTTCTGTTCTGTCCAGCGCTCCCTCATCTTGTGTCTTACTGTCGGTTCGTAATCCGGCTGAAAAAATACTTCCTTATGCGAATGACGAAGAGCCATCCTCCGTTCTCGGAGATGTGAGGCCTTTGGTTCATTTGCAAGAATGATTTTAAGAGGCCTTGGTAATGCGCGCGACGCATCTGCGTTTCTTAGACGGAAAGCTTTGTACACGGTAACACATTATCCGACAGAAGGAGGGCATTTGAATATGTTTGGAAGAGGTTGAGATCGTGTTCGATTCTTTCTTTTGCAGTCGACGAACTGGACTCAGGAGCTCACTTTATGACGATGTTTCGTTCTCGGTAGAGATGCCTGTTTGGAAGAGAGTCCCTACGTCCCCAGCATTCCCCGTGTGTTTTCTGCTATTTGAACTCCTTTTTCAACTTGCCTTGTTTCATTTCCGACAAACAAGAAATGCGCAAACTTGGAGTAAATCTATCCGAATGGGCTCCCTCAGGCACGCTCCAAAGTTTCCTATAAAAATTTCAGCTAAAATCCATCAGCTACCGCTTCATATTAACAAACCGCCAACAGGCAGCCAGTAGTATAGAACTGTGCAAATAGTTTACCGTACTAACAACACAGGTATTAGCTAAAAGCCCAGACACGCGTCTTTCGCCCATCTTATGCCGCTGCCTGACGCAGCTGCCAGGGCTTCGGCTCGACAGTCGGTCCCCCAGCATTCCCCGTCTCTTTTATGCTATATGAACTCCAGTTTCAACTTGACTTATATCATCTCCGAGGAAATGAATGCGCGTACTCACAGTAAATCATTCGAAACAGGCGTTTTCAAGCACGCTGAAATGTTCGGTATGAATATCTGAACAGAAATATATCAGATAGTGCGGAAATACCGCTTAAAATTCACAAACCTCCAACAGGCAGCCAGTATAATAGAACTGTGCAATGGTTTACCGTACTAACAACACAGGTATTAGCTAAAAGCCCAGACACGCGTCTTTCGCCCATCTTATGCCGCTGCCTGACGCAGCTGACAGGGCTTCCGCGCGTCAGTCTCTCCCCCAACATTCCCCCTCTGTTTTCTGCCATACGAACTCCAGTTTCAACTTGCCTTCTTTCATTTCCGAGGCAATGAATGCGCGAGCGTGGAGTAAATCTTCCCAAACGGGCATTTTCAGGCACGCTTCAAAGTTTGTTATGAATATTTGAACTGAAATCCATCAGCAACCGCTTAATATTCACAAACCGCAAATATGCGTCCAGCATCGCATTAGTGCGCAATTAAAGTGAACCCCAGGTAAGCGGAATGTTGCCTTGTTTCTTTGCCTGCAATGAGCTATCTCATTTTCCAGACAACCTTCCCATTGCCCTTTCCGCCTCTGCGCTGTCGAAAACCGTTTGTGTCGACTGCGGGACACCGTACATTCAACTGCGCTAGACGACCTCGTATGTGCACGCCGCCAACTTCATCATCGACTGCGCCAGATGCAGGACGCCTGGACTGCTCGCAAAGCTGAGGAGATCCAATGCTACGCGGAACGCAACGAATGGAAGAACTTCATCTCCGCAATCAAAGCTGTCTACGGTCCGCCGACGTAGGGCACTCTCCTAACTGAGAAGACACAAATCCTGCAGCGATGGGCCGAGCATTTCCGAGGCGTCCTCAACCATCACTCCGCCATCCCCGAAGTCGCCGTCGAGCGCTTGCCGCAAGTGCAGACCAACGAGGACCTCGACCTCCCGCCCTCTCTCCAGGAAACCATCAGGGCCGTGCAGCAGCTCTCCAGCGGGAAAGCACCCGGATCGGACGCAATCCCTGCTGAGGTCTACAAGCACGGAGGTCCCCAACTGATGGATCATCTGACTGCGCTCTTCCAGGAGATGTGGCGTCAAGGTGAAGTCCCGCATGATTTCAAAGACGCAAATATCGTGCCCCTATACAAGCGAAAAGGGAATCGCCAAGTCTGCGACAACCACCGCGGTATCTCCCTACTGAACATCGGCGGGAAGATCTTCGCTCGCATCCTGCTCAACCGCCTCAACAACCATCTGGAACAGGGCCTTCTGCCGGAAAGCCAATGCGGCTTCCGTCGTCATCGTGGGACCACTGATATGATCTTCGCCGCCCGCCAACTTCAGGAGAAGTGCCGGGAGATGCGGACCCACCTGTACTCTACCTTTGTGGACCTGACGAAAGCCTTCGACACGGTGAATCGTGAAGGACTGTGGAAGATCATGCAGAAATTCGGCTGTCCGGAGCGATTCACTCAGATGGTGCGTCAGCTGCACGACGGTATGATGGCGCGAGTCACGGACAACGGAGCTGTCTCAGAGGCATTCGCAGTGACCAACGGAGTGGAGCAGGGCTGTGTGCTGGCGCCTACCCTCTTCAGTCTTATGTTCTCTGCCATGCTGATGGACGCATACCGCGACGAACGCCCTGGAATCCGCATCGCCTACAGAACGGACGGTCATCTCCTGAATCAACGGCGCATGAACTTCCAATAGCGTGTATCCACAGCCACCGTGCACGAACTCCTCTTCGCCGACGACAGCGCCCTGAACACCACCTCCGAAGCGGAGATGCAACGGAGCATGGACCTATTCTCCGCCGCCTGCGAGAACTTTGGGCTGGTTATCAACACACAGAAGACGGTGGTGATGCACCAACCGCCACCCAACTCAGTCACAGCCCCCAACGCGCCGCAAATCAGCGTGAATGGGACTCATTTGCAAGTGGTAGAGAACTTCCCGTACCTGGCCAGGACGCTCTCCCGCAACAGCAAGATCGACGACGAAGTCGCCAACAGGATCTCGAAAACCAGTCAAGCCTTCGGTCGCCTCCAAAGCACAGTTTGGAATCGCCACGGACTCAAACTCAGCACGTAGGTGAAGACGTATAAGACCGTCATCCTGCCGACGCTGCCGTGCGGAGCGGAGACTTGTACGGTGTACACAAAGCAGGCACGCCGACTGAACCACTTCCACCTCAGTTGTATTCTTCGCATCCTGAGGCTGAGCTGGAAGGTCGAATCCGCTACACCGATGTGCTGGAACGGACGGGAATCCTCAGCATCTACACCATGCTGAGACAAACGCAGCTGCGTTGGAGCGGCCATCTAGTGCGCATGTACGACGAGCGATTACCAAAACGACCCTTCTACGGAGTCGTCGCCACGGGCTCTCGCCGTCAAGAAGACCGAATTCGCCGTTACAAGGATACCATGAAGTCCTCCCTGAAGCGCGTGCAAATCAACATGGCCAACTGGGAAGACCTCGCCCGCGATCGACCGACATGGAGGAGGACAGTGAAGACAGGCGCTGAAATCTACGAAGCCAACCACATCGCCGTCGCCAAAGTGAAACGCGAAGGCCAATCGGCATCGAAAACGCACAACCGCTTCCAACATGTCCTCGATGTCAACGGGCATTCCGGGCTCGAAAAGGACTTGTTGGACACCTTCGGATCAACTGCACTTCTCGAACCGCACCAACCATCTTCCCCCCGCCCGCCTCTTCCTCCCCGCCACCGCCAACTAATTCTGACAATTCTTCTGAACCACCACTTCCATCCTCCTCCTCGGCCTCCACTTCCTCCTCCTCCTCCTCCTCCTCCTCCTCCACTGCTCCAACGACGGCCGCTCAGGCGACTGTCACGCGCGCAACGGCCGACACTACCACCACCTCCCCCGAATCCAGTGATGAGGATCAGGACTACACCTGCACTCACTGCGACCGCACATTCACCTCACACATCGGCCTGGTCGGTCACTTGCGAATCCATCGCACAGTGACTGGCGAACCAGTGCCTTGAGCACCAACCTACACCCACCGCACACGCCTACACCACCCACACTGCCTCGCACCTTCCGGCATCGCATTGGCCTATTCGGCCAAATGCGCATCCACGAGAGCGGAACTGACCGCAACTCCGACACCCCCACCACATCCAAGACATCCGCCATGCATGGCCCCACACGCGCTCCATCGCCCTGCGCGCCCCTCACCAACAGCACCATCACCGCGACCTCCTTAGCTGACACTGATGCCGCCGACCTCACATGCCCATATTGTCCAAGCCCCTTCACCTCATGCATCGGCCTGGTCGGTCACTTGCGAATCCATCGCACAGAGACTGGCGAACCAGTGCCTGGAGCACCAACCTACACCCACCAAGCCCGTCTCCACTACCCACACTGCCCTCGCACTTTCAGGCATCTCATGGGCCTATTCGGCCACATGCGCATCCACGACGACCTGAGGTAGACAACCGCCGGTCACACCACACATTCCTTCACTCCCTACCTCCTAACACCATCACCCCACCAGACATCAACCCTCACACACCTCATGCACTCAACTGCCGCCTCCCACGCAAGTGGGAAGTGTGCATCTCGATCGGTCCCCATGCGGCTTCGGCTGCACGGGTGACTTGTGTCCGAGACTATCCCGACACGTCAAGCGTCGTGGATAGGAAGGTTGCTGATTGAGGCCCGCTCTCGGTTCACGCAATCCGTCACGTTGTGTGTGTGTTGTGTGTAGTGGCGGACTGGTGGGCTAGGGACGGGCTGAAGCAACACCTACCACGGACCTCTCACTCAAGTGAGAGACACGCCGTCCAACCCCCGTTGTGTGAAATCCTGGTGTTGGTGTGTGTATGGGGGGCCAGGTCGTGGTGTTGCGCGCGCAGGCGTGGTCAGTCGACCGTGTCAGCCACCGCGCCCATTCCCCACTACAGTCTGCTGACCGGCTCGGACAGCGGCTGATGTGTGGGGATGGGAATGTAGAGTGAGGTCGACAACTCAGCGCACTTTCTCCTCACTATAAACAATCTGACGCGCTTGAAGCTATCACGGTGCGCTAAAAGCCGTGGCTTGGAAGGTTGCAAACTGACGGGGTACCTTGGACCTCCTCCTTCACTGGAGGCGGTCTGAGAGTCAGGCTGCAATGGCTTCTTTTTAATGTGGGCTTTATGGCATTCCCACCACAGCGTGGGATCCGAGCCAGGCGTTGGCGGCACGCCTCCAAATCTCTGTTGTGTTGGTTGAAATCCTGGTTATTGTTGTGTGGACCAGGGGGTGTGGTGGAACGCCTAGGTGAGGATCCGTCCGAGCCATCCACCTGCGGCCTCCACCGTCTCCGGTCATCTTGACTCTGTCTTGACACCGGGCTCGGGCGAAGGAGGAGGAGAGAGTGTAGGTAGAAGCAGCGCAATTCTACCCGCACTATAAACCCCTGCGCAAGTTATCGTCCCTGCTCCCACCGTTGCAGCTGCAGCTGTGGGGCACACGGTGGACATAATCGAAATCGATGTTCGAACTGTCGCGTGTGTGTGTGTGTGTGTGTGTGTGTGATGAGGATCAGGACTACACCTGCCCTCACTGCGACCGTATCTTCACCTCTCGCATCGGCCTGGTCGGTCACTTGCGAATACATCGCACAGAGGCTGGTGAACCAGTGCCTGGAGCACCAACCTACACCCACCGCACTCGCCTCCACTGCCCACACTGCCCTCGCACCTTCACTCATCGCATGGGTCTATTCGGCCACATGCGCATCCACGAGAGCGGAATTGACCGCAGCCTTGACACACCCACCCCGTCGAGCCCCACTCCCAATCAATCACCTTGCGCACCCACTAACCACTCCACAGCCGACATCGACGCCACCGACCTTACCACGCCTCACACCTCCCCTTCCTCCTCCTCTTCCTCCTTCACTGCCACAACGACGGCCGCTTCGGCGTCTGTCGCCCCCGACCTCACCACAGCCGAACCTGACACAACAACAGGCACAACCCCTGCAACCTCCATCATCAGACGCGAGGGCCAGGACTACATCTGCCCTCACTGCGATCGCACCTTCACCTCACGCATCGGCCTGGTCGGTCACTTGCGAATCCATCGCACAGAGACTGACGAACCAGTGCCTGGAGCACCAACCTACACTCACCGCACTCGCCTCCACTGCCCACACTGTCCTCGCACCTTCACGCATCGCATGGGTCTATTCGGCCACGTGCGCACCCACGAGAGCGGAATTGACCACAATTCCGATACAGCCACAACATCCAACACATCCACCACGCCCATACCAATCCTCGCTCCACCGTCACACGCGTCGACCACCACCACCACCAACACCACTGCTTCCTCTGCAGCTGACTCCGACACCGCCAACCTCTCATGCCCACATTGTCCACGCACCTTCACCTCACGCATTGGCCTGGTCGGTCACTTGCGAATCCATCGCACAGAGACTGGCGAACCAGTGCCTGGAGCACCAACCTACACCCACCGCACTCGCCTCCACGGCCCACACTGCACTCGCACCTTCACGCATCGCCTGGGTCTATTCGGCCACATGCGCATCCACGACGACCTGCGGTAGACAACCGCAGGTCACACCACACATTCCCTCACCACCTACCTCCTAGCACCATCACCCCACCAGACATCAACCCCCACACACCTCATGCACTCAACTGCCGCCTCCCACGCAAGTGGGATGTGTGCATCTCGACTCGATCCCCATGCGGCTTTGGCTGCACGGGGGACTTGTGTTCGAGACTATCCCGACACGTCAAGCGTCGTGGATAGGAAGGTTGCTGATAGAGGCCCGCTATCGGTTCACGCAGTTCGTCACGTTGTGTGTGTGTTGTGTGTAGTGGCGGACTGGTGGGCTGGGGACGGGCTGAAGCAGCACCTTTCACGGCCCTCTCACGCAAGTGGGAGACACGCCGTTCTACCCCCGTTGTGTGAAATCCTGGTGTTTGTGTGTATGGGGGGCCAGGTCGTGCTGTGGCGCGCGCAGGCATGGTCAGTCGACCATGTCAGCCACCGCGCCCATTCCCCACTCCAGTCTACTGACCGGCTCGGACAGTGGCTGGGGTGTGGGAATGGGAAGGGAGAGTGAGGTCGACGACTCAGCGCACTTTCTCCTCACTATAATCAATCTGACGCGCTTGAAGCTATCACGGTGCGCTAAAAGCCGTGGCTTGGAAGGTTGCCAACTGACGGGGTACCTTGGACCTCCTCCTTCACTGGAGGCGGTCTGAGAGTCAGGCTGCAATGGCTCCTTTTTAATGTGGCCTTTATGGCACTCCCACCACAGAGTGGGATCCGAGCCAGGCGTTGGCGGCACGCCCAGGTGCGGCTTCGGTCGTGCCAGCCTCCAAATCTCTCTTGTGTTGGTTGAAATCCTGGTTATTGTTGTGTGGACCAGGGGGTGTGGTGGAACGCCAAGGTGAGGATCCGTCTGAGCCATCCACCTGCGGCCTCCCTCGTCTCCGGTCTTCTTGACTCTGTCTTGACACCGGGCCGAGGCGGGGGAGGAGGAGAGAGTGTAGGTAGATGCTACGCAAGTCTACTGGCACTATAAACCCCTGCGTAAGTCACCGTCCCTGCTCCCACAATGCAGTCTGTGGGGCACACGGTGGTCATCGTCGAAATCGACGGACGAACTGTCGTGTCGTGTGTGTGTGTGTGTGTGTGTGTGTGTGTGTGTGTGTGGTGGGGGGGGTGTAGGGGTGTCCAGCGGTGGGTTCACGTGATGGTCGTAGTGGTCGCTTACTTGCTCGCAGTTGAGACTACACCAAGCGTCCATTTGCTGGCACCCAACTCTCACCTGTGGCTCCACGTAGCTGGGCTCTGCTCAGCGGCCACACCCCGGGCAACCGTCTTGGCCGGCGGGCTAAACCAGGTGAGGGCGCTGTGCACTTGTGCCGAGTGCACATCGTACCGCGGACTCCGCTGGATGGATGGTCGGATGAAACACTGCGCCGGCATCGTCGAGACGAGGCTCTGCCTGGTACGCCGTTGGATAACTGCTGCCGGGACGGGTCTCTGCATCGCCTTCGCTGAGACGCGCCCACACTCGTTGACGGAGACCGCGGACTCAAGGCACATTCGGTCGTTCTCCACTACGAACATAAAAGTCGTGGCCATATAGTGGGATTCGGTCTCGCCAACCAGGCACATGGGCAGCCCGACTCAGGGACGGAACTGCCCGCCCCCATGAGGGGAAGGGCCTAGAAAAGGTGGTCTAAAAAATGCTGGGCACCACGACGTCTGCAGGCCAGCCAAGGCCGCAGATGCCATCAACACGGTCGAAACAATTAAAATCGAAACTAGAACAATACCAATTACAACAACAACAACAACCATAATCATCCTACTCATCCTACCTCTCCTTCCTCTAACTCTGTCTATTCTTCTGCCTAAACTTCTCCTTCGTCACCTTCTTCTCCACCTCCCTCCCGTCGCAACACTCGTTGTCACCAGACTGGCAGGGTGAGCCCGCTCACTCTGGCAGCATGGAATGTTCGTTCCCTTTTAGACAGTCCGAGGAGCAACCGACCGGAACGGAGGACGGCGCTAGTGGCACGAGAACTGGCGCGCTACAAGGTGGACATCGCCGCACTCAGCGAGACCCGATTCTCCGAACAAGGGCAACTGGAGGAGGTGGGTGCCGGCTACACCTTCTTCTGGAGTGGTCGACGCAGGGCAGAGCGACGAGACGCGGGTGTCGCCTTTGCCATCCGGACCGACATTGTGGGACGTCTGCCCTGTCTACCGAAGGGAATCAACGATCGCCTGATGAGCCTCCGTCTGCCTCTCCGCCGGCGAGGAGGCAAATTCGCCACCATCATCAGCGCCTACGCTCCGCCGATGACCAGCCCCGACGACGCCGCCGGAAGAGACAAGTTCTACGAGGACCTGCACGCCCTCTTGGCGACTGTGTCGAAGGCGGACAAGTTGATTGTCCTTGGTGACCTCAACGCCCGCGTCGGCACAGACCATACTGCCTGGAGAGGAGTGCTGGGTTCCCATGGTCTCAGCGACTCCAACGACAATGGTCTGCTGCTGCTCCGCACCTGCGCAAAACACCGCCTCATCCTGACGAACACGTTCTTCTGTCTGCCGGAGCGAGAGAAGGCCACCTGGAGGCATCCTCGGTCGCGTCAGTGGCACCTGCTGGACTATGTCCTCGTCCGGAGGCGAGATCAGCGGGACGTGCTGGTGACGAAGGCGATCGCGGGTGCTGACGGGTGGACCGATCATCGACTCGTCATCTCGAAGATGCGTATTCGCCTACAGCCTCGCAGGAGACCACAAGGTAAGCGACCCCCAGGTAAGCTGAATGTTGTCTTGTTGTCCTTGCCCGCTCATCATCTTCATTTCAGCAATGAGCTAGCTCAACGGCTAGACAACCTCCCCATCGCCGATGCCGCCGCCGCTGCCGAGAACGCGTCCGTGGAGAACCGCTGGTGTCAACTGCGAGACACAGTCCAGTCGACGGCACTCGCCGTTCTCGGTCGCGCTCCCCGCCAACACCAGTACTGGTTCGACGACAATGACGCCGCCATCAGAAATCTGCTTGCTGAGAAGAACCGCCTAAACAAAGCCTACGTAGATCACCCCACTGAGGATAACAAAGCTGCCTTCTACCGCAGTTTCCCACAGCTTCAGCAACGACTGCGCGAGATGAAGGACGCCTGGACTGCTCGCAAAGCTGAGGAGATCCAAGGCTACGCGGACCGCAACGAATGGAAGAACTTCTTCTCCGCGATCAAAGATGTCTGCGGTCCGCCGACGAAGGGCACTGCTAATCTCCTCAGCGCCGACGGCAGCGCTCTCCTGACTGAGAAGACACAAATCCTGCAGCGATGGGCCGAGCACTTCCGAGGCGACCTCAACCGCCCTTCCGTCATCTCCGACGCCGCCATCGCCCGCTTGCCGCAAGTGGAGACCAACGTGGACCTCGACCTCCCGCCATCTCTCCAGGAAACCATCAGGGCCGTGCAGCAGCTCTCCAACGGGAAAGCACCCGGATCGGACGCAATCCCTGCTGAGGTCTACAAGCACAGAGGTCCCCTAATGATGGATCAACTGACTGCGCTCTTCCGAGGGATGTGGCGTCAAGTTGAAGTCCCGCATGAATTCAAAGACGCAAATATCGTGCACCTTTACAAGCGAAAAGGGAATCGCCAAGTCTGCGACAATCACCGCGGCATCTCCCTGCTGAACATCGCCGGGAAGATCTTCGCTCGCATCCTCCTCAACCGTCTCAATAACCATCTGGAACAGGGCGTTCTGCCTGAAAGCCAGTGCGGCTTCCGTCGTCATCGTGGGACCACGGATATGATCTTCGCCGCCCGCCAACTTCAGGAGAAGTGCCGGGAGATGCGGACCCACCTGTACTCTACTTTCGTGGACCTGACAAAGCCTTCGACACGGTGAATCATGAAGGACTGTGGAAGATCATGCAGAAATTCGGCTGTCCGGAGCGATTCACTCAGATGGTGCGTCAGCTGCACGACGGTATGATGGCGCGAGTCACGGACAACGGAGCTGTCTCAGAGGCATTCGCAGTGACCAACGGAGTGAAGCTGGGATTCGTGCTGGCACCCACCCTCTTCAGTCTTATGTTCTCTGCCATGCTGATGGACGCCTACCGCGACGAACGCCCTGGAATCCGCATCGCCTACAGAACGGATGGTCATCTCCTGAATCACCGGCGCATGAACTTCCAATCGCGTGTATCCACAGCCACCGTGCACGAACTCCTCTTCGCCGACGACTTCGCCCTTAACACCACCTCGGAAGAGGAAATGCAACGCAGCATGGATCTGTTCTCCGCCACCTGCGAGAATTTCGGTCTGATCATTAACACGCAGAAGACGGTGGTGATGCACCAACCTCCGACCAACTCAGCCACAGCCCCCAACGCGCCGCCGCAAATCAACGCGAACGGAAATCAACTGCAAGTGGTGGAGAACTTCCCGTACCTGGGAAGTACCCTATCTCGCAGCAGCAAGATTGATGACGAAGTTGCCAACAGAATCTCGAAAGCCAGTCAAGCATTCGGACGCCTCCGAAGCACAGTTTGGAATCGCCACGGTCTCCAGCTGAGCACATCGCTGAAGATGTACAAGGCCGTCATCCTGCCGACGCTACTGTATGGAGCGGAGACTTGGACGGTGTATACGAGGCAGACACGCGGACCGAACCACTTCCACCTCAGTTGTCTCCGTCGCTTCCTGAGGCTGAACTGGCAGGATCGAATCCCCGACACGGAAGTGCTGGAACGGACGGGAATCCTCAGCATCTGCGCCATACTGAAACAAATGCAGCTGCGCTGGAGGGCCACCTGGTGCGCATGGACGACGACCGACTACCCAAACAACTCTTCTACGGAGACGTCGCCACGGGTTCTCGTCGTCAAGGAGGCCAAATTCGCCGTTAAAAGGATACAATGAAGTCCTCCCTGAAGCGCCTGCAAATCAACCCGACCAACTTGGAAGAGCTCGCTCGCGATCGTCCGCCATGGAGGAGAACAGTGAAGACGGGCGCTGCTATCTACGAAGCCAACCACAACGCCGCCGCCAAAATGAAACGCGAAGCCCGCAAATCACCATTTCGCCCAGTAAGTAACGCTGCCGCACAACCGCACCCTACGTGTCCCCGATGTCAACGGACATTCCGGGCACGAATCGGACTTTTTGGACATCTTCGGATCAACTGCACCTCTCGACATGCTCCAGCCATCGTCCCCCCGCCCGCGTCCTCCTCGTCCTCTCTGCCGTCAACTAAATCTGACACTCCTTCTTCACCACCACTTCCATCCCCCTCCTTCTCCTCCACTGCCCCAGCGGCGGCCGTTTAGACTGCCGTCTCACACATCACCAACCACGACACAATAACCGCCACCACCCCCACCTCTCCCGATTCCAGTGATGAGGATCAGGACTACACCTGCACTCACTGCGACCGCACCTTCACCTCTCGCATCGGCCTGGTCGGTCACTTGCGAATACATCGCACAGAGACTCACCGCACACTCACCGCACTCGCCTCCACTGCCCACACTGCCCTCGCACCTTCAGGCATCGCATGGGTCTATTCGGCCACATGCGCATCCACGAGAGCGGAATTGACCACAATTCCGATACAGCCACGACATCCAACATATCCACCATGCCCAGACGCACCCTCGCTCCACCGTCACACGCGCCGACCACCACCACCAACACCACCGCTTCCTCTACAGCCGGCACCGACACCGCTGAACTCTCATGCCCACATTGTCCACGCACCTTCACCTCACGCATCGGCCTGGTCGGTCACTTGCGAATCCATCGCACAGAGACTGGCGAACCAGTGCCTGGAGCACCAACCTACACCCACCGCACTCGCCTCCACTGCCCACACTGCCCTCGCACCTTCACGCATCGCATGGGTCTATTCGGCCACATGCGCATCCACGACGACCTGCGGTAGACAACCGCTGGTCACACCACACATTCCCTCACTCCCTACCTCCTAACACCATCACCTCACCGGACATCAACCCCACACACCTCATGCACTCAACTGACGCCTCCCACGCAAGTGGGAAGTGTGCATCTCGACTCGATCCCCATGCGGTTTCGGCTGCACGGGTGACTTGTGTCCGAGACTATCCCCACACGTCAAGTGTCGTGGATAGGAAGGTTGCTGATTGAGGCCCGCTCTCGGTTCACGCAGTTCGTCACGTTGTGTGTGTGTTGTGTGTAGTGGCGGACTGGTGGGCTGGGGACGGGCTGAAGCAGCACCTTCCACGGCCCTCTCACGCAAGTGGGAGACACGCCGTTCTACCCCCGTTGTGTGAAATCCTGGCGTTTGTGTGTATGGGGGGCCAGGTCGTGCTGTGGCGCGCGCAGTCATGGTCAATCGACCATGTCAGCCACCGCGCCCATTCCCCACCCCAGTCTACTGACCGGCTCGGACAGTGGCTGGGGTGTGGGAACGGGAAGGGAGAGTGAGGTCGACGACTCAGCGCATTTTCCTCACTATAATCAATCTGACGCGCTTGAAGCTATCACGGTGCGCTAAAAGCCGTGGCTTGGAAGGTTGCCAACTGACGGGGTACCTTGGACCTCCTTCTTCACGGGAGGCGGTCTGAGAGTCAGGCTGCAATGGCTCCTTTTTAATGTGGCCTTGATGGCACTCCCACCACAGTGTGGGATCCGAGCCAGGCGTTGGCGGCACGCCCAGGTGCGGCTTCGGCCGTGCCAGCCTCCAAATCTCTCTTGTGTTGGTTGAAATCCTGGTTATTGTTGTGTGGACCAGGGGGTGTGGTGGAACGCCAAGGTGAGGATCCGTCCGAGCCATCCACCTGCGGCCTCCCTCGTCTCCGGTCTTCTTGACTCTGTCTTGACACCGGGCCCAGGCGGGGGAGGAGGAGAGTGTGTAGGTAGATGCTACGCAAGTCTACTGGCACTATAAACCCCTGCGTAAGTCACCGTCCCTGCTCCCACAGTGCAGTCTGTGGGGCACACGGTGGTCATCGTCGAAATCGACGGACGAACTGTCGTGTGTGTGTGTTTGTGTAATGGGGGCCAGGTCGTTCTGATGGCGCTCGCAGGCAAGGTCAGACGACCATGCCAGCCGCCTCGCCCATTCCCCACTCCAGTTACTGACCGGCTCGGACAGCGGCTGGGGTGTGGGATTGGGAAGAGAGAGTGAGGTCGACGACTCAGCGCAATTTGTCCTCACAGTAAACAGTCTGACGTGCTTGATGCTATCTCGGTTCGCTAAAAACCGTGTCTTGGAAGGTTGCCAACTGACGGGATATCTTGGACCTCCACCTCGACTTGAGGAGGTCTGAGGTTCGGGCTGCAATGGCTCCTTTTAAATGTGGCCTTTATGGCACTCCTACCACTGCGTGGGATCCGAGCCAGGCGTTGGTGGCACGCCCAGGTGCGGCCTCGGCCGCGCCAGCATCCAACCTCTGATGTGTTGGTCAAAATACTTGATATGTGTTTGTGGAGCAGGCGGTGTGGTGGAACATCAAGGTGAGGATCCTTCCGAGCCATCCATCTGCGGCCTCCCTCGTCTCCGGTCTTCTTGTCTCTGTCTTGACACCGGACTCAGGCGAAGGAGGAGGAGGGAGTGTAGGTAGATGCAGCGCATGAATACTGGCACTATAAACCGCTTCGCAAGTCATCGTCCCTGCTCCCATTGCTGCTGCAACAGTGAGGCACACGGTGGACATCATCGAAACCGATGGTCGAACTGGCATGAGTTTGTGTGTCTGGAGGCATCAAGGGATGATGCAAAATTCCATGTGGGACTGCAGTGTAGATCGAGATCCCCTCCGCTCTTAATCTGTAGTTCTAATGCTAATCGGTTCACCTATTCTTCTGCGAGGCTTCTTGTGGCCGACACCTGGTTTACGATTGATGCGCGACGAACGCAGATTCGATCGCAGTCCGTGGACGTAGATTCCGCATGTAGCCGAATACGCACAGGGGTGTCCCTAGATGATATTTTGATATTTATGAAAATAGAATGTTATTGGTATTACTTAAACATTGCAGGCTGTTGGAATGGATCAGGATACAGGGCGGAGACTTTCACAGCACCAGGCGGATCAGCTGATATCAGCAACGACTTAACATCTCGGACCTCGTTGTCGAAGAAACCACTGGAGTCGCTCGAAAGATAGCTGGAGCTGCAAGCATTCGCATGTAAACTTCTGCGTTTCTTGATGTTCCTTCTTTGATCCGCATGTTAAGAAATAAAATAATTGCAATGTAACCTGTTTTGGCGTTTTTTGAAAACGTTGAATGGTGTGGAGTGCCCTACAACTAAGGCGACCGATTAATAACGTTTTTATCTCTGAAAGGAATGAAATGAATGAATCAGTTATTTTTTACGAGGGAGATGCTCATTTTGTCGAACTAATGCATGGCTTAGGGGAGAAATCATTGTCGCCAGCGGATATGATACTTGAGAATAATTAGACGTAGTTCTGGAGATGTTCTCACCGCCAGGTGTCCCCAGGGCAAAAAACATGACATCCCATTTTTATTTTAAAAAAACACCAAAAGGGTGTAAATTGTTCAACACATGGGCTGAAAAATAATCTCTAGCATATCTCTGCGAGGACTGAGGGATGTGTTCGAGGTATGTTTGGGAAGGAGGTGCCCATTTGCTGACGTAGTGAGCAACACTAGTAAGATCGCAAATCGTAGACCTTGTGTTAATATAAAGGGCAAACGTACAACTTACGGAGGCGAAAGGCTACAGGAACAGTTAGCGCGTGGATGGCGGACCTGGCACTATGAATTAGGACAGATGTCACCAAGTCTGAATAGTGTCCCACTCTTTTAAGCAAATATAGCCCACCCCACGAAATGCGTTATACTGTTGTGTGAGTTACTTTCGGGCTTCGCTATTGAGGGAATTCTGCATAA